GAAGCAGATCATATCCCTAAGGCAGCTACTCAGTTGCTCACAGTAGATTCTACCATGGAGTTCATTGCCAGTCTCATCATGGGGAATAATACCTCCAGCTGCCTAGCCACTCAACCAGGCCTAGTCAAGTTGACAACAACCTTAATTACCACGGAGGCCCTGGGTGAGAAGAGGCCAACTGCCAGAGCAGGGAGGCCCTGGGACAAGAGGAGGCCAACTGCTCAGCCCCCAGATAAGGAAGTGGAGGCCTGGGAGGTAGAGGGGGCCGCCCATGTCCCATGGCCAGACCCAGGCCAAGCCAGGCCTGGCGTCTTAGCCTGCTGCCCTGCACCACCTGCTAGGATGGAGCCAGCTTAGTAAGACAGTTCCAGAGTGTCGCCAAATGCAGCAGCAGCCCTCTGCCTTCCCAGGCTCCTGCACTCTTCATAGAACTTCTCAAATCACTAACTGGAAGATTCGAAGAAAAACGAGGAGATTCTCTGGACATTCAACACACTCAGTAAGCACCCCCTCTTTACGAAGCATGATGACAGATCCATGCAGGGACCTCCACTCTGCACGAGCCCACCAGCTCCCCCTCTTTATGAAGCGTGACAACAGATCCATGTGGGGGTCTCTCCTCTACACAAGACCACCAGGCCAGCTAGGCTCAGGGCCAGCCAGAGCCCTGGGTCCTGTATCTGTACGTAAGAACACCAGGCTGGCTGGGCCTGGAGATGGCCGGAGCCCTGGGTCCTGTGTCTTTGCTTTGCTCAAGACCAGTAGGCCGGCTGGGCCCAGGGACAGCCACTACCATGTGCACGCTCTCCCTAGTTCCTCATCACCTAAAATGATCTTCAGCCCCTTTTTCTAAACCAGCACAGACTTCTTCCCCACAGATTGCATACGACAAACCAGAATACTTGTTTCCATAGTGAGACCTACGGTACCTTGGCAACCAAACAAGCCAAGAATCTAGTTTTTCTGAGTTCTCACCACTGTCTCGCCCCTTCCCTCCGTTCTCTGCCATCTTTCACTGCTCCCAGGAACAGGCCAGCCCTCACACCTGGTGGGGTCCAGGACAGATAAGGTCTGAGGATCCCTGACAGCCACACCAGCCTCCAGCAGGAAAGGAAGGACATGGGCTGCATTACCTTCACGTAGGACTTTTCTGTGTCCACAAGCTCCTGGATGACTTTGCGGAGACGGTCTGCATCGGAGAGGTGGCGGGCCAGGGGCCGGGGCGGGGGGTCCCGACTCTCCTGTGATGCCTCCATGCTGTCCGTCTGGGTGTCAGCAAAGCTCCTGCACAGTGCAGTGATCTGCTCGGCACTCTGAGAGGGAACAAGAAGGGGAAGCGGGTGAGGGATGCTCACGGTTATCATCACCTGGCCACCAAGGATGCAAACAAGACTGCTCTCTCTGTCCAGCATCCTTGAAGAATCTCAGAGGCATGAACACCAGGGCAAGATCTTTCACTCACTAAAGCCCCTGTGGCCCTCACTCAAATAGCAGCAAGGAGGACAGGTGCTCACAGTGCCACTCAGCATTTACACAGGATGCTCCTCACAGTCAAATGGCCGTCGTCGGATGCTTTCCTTCCTCCTGAGCCACAGAGGAAGATGAAGGGCTGACCCTTGCAGGAAAGTTCTTGTTAGGTGCCCGTGAGTCAGCTCCGGCTCAGAGCAACCCTATGTACAATCCGGCCCTGCACCATCCTCGTAATTGTTGCCATGCGGGAACCCAGGAAAGTTAAGGTGGCCCTAAAAGTCCTGACTTTTACTTTCCTGGGTTCACGCATGGCAATAATTGTAAGGATGGTGTGGGATGAGGACAGGAGCTCTTTTAGTGTAGTACCTAAGGCACTTGACTGCTAACCAGAAGGCTTGTGGTTCAAACCCACCAGCCACTCCTCGGAAGGAAGACTGAACAATCTACTTCCATAGAGATACCACCTCAGAAACCCAAGGAGGGGTCGCTATGAGTTAGAAACGACTTGACTGCAGTGAGTTTGGTTTTCTGGTTTTAAAAGTAATGACGTATGGCTTTCTAATGAACACAAAGACAAGGGAGCCCCCTTTGGGCCCCTCTGTCCCCTGCACAGCTGGCTTAAGCCCTCATACAGAAACAACCCCAGATGGACAGGAAAAGTGTGGCACCACGGAAATGACAGGATGGCTTAGCTACCGCAAGCCTGGGCTTCTGCTCTCAAACCCAAGCCACTTAGCTCTGCAGTCCTGGGCCGTACGCAGAGCTCTGGGCAGAGCATTTGAGCTGCTGCACATGCAGGAATGGGAGTGGAGACAAGTGGGTAAAGAAGATAGGGCCCCTGCCCTGTGGGGCGGAACACCCAGCAGGACAGAGTGGGCAGCAGGCGACTCGGTACGGCCTGGTGAGTGCGGGTGGAGAGGGATGAGGGAGAGCCGTGGGGCCCTCACAGATGAGCAGAGCCTTGGGCTGGTACTTAGGCAGTAAAGTACATGGAGACAGACCTAGGGAGGGTAGGAGACCAGAGAATATGCTCATCCCAGGCAGCTGGAACAGAATCAGACAGACTGAGAGGCAAGAAGGAGCGGGAACATCTGGGGAGACTCAGGGCCTTCGGAGCAAGTGCTCACTGAAATTCAGCCCTGTGTGGTCCAGCCTTCTCAAGGAGAACCTATAGGGACACCATGCCTTAGACTGGTGGTTGAACACCTCAATATGTCTCCTCCTCTCTGCCTGCATAGTTCTGGAAGCATCCTCAACTACATTCAAACCATCTCCATCCCACGTCAGTCACCAGTTGTCATCAAATTGTCTCATGGCACCCCATGGGTGTCAGAGTACAACCGTGCTGCATAGGGTTTTCGGTGACTGATTCTCCAGCAGATCACCAGATCTTTCTTCCAAGGTACCTGTGGTGGACTCAAACCTCCAAGCTTTCAGTTAGCAACCACACATGCCAACCGTCTGCACCACCTAGGGCTTTCCCATCCCATCCCAGCCACTCCCCCATCATTCTTGACCACTGTCCCTAAGTGGCCGGTGCACAGCAGTGTTCAGTTCACCCCGGTGCACCAAAATTGTTATCTAACAACAAAGAGTTATTGCATGACAATTCCAGGCCCTGGGCGTGGCCAAACGACTATTCTCCATCAGTCTTTGACAGCTTTCTGTCTCAGCTAGAACTCCCCTCTCCTGCGTGTAAATGCCTTTATGCCTGACCTATTTTACTTGGTCTGTCAGGGGTAAGATGCTAACTTGACAGGAGCATCCCTTCACACTTCATTCCTTTCCTTGACTTGTTTAGTTTCAAAATACAAATAACTGGTACCTACTGCAGCCAAAGACCAGAGGAAGTTGTGAAGGGTGCTGGCCGAGCTCAGCGACCTGAAGCACGCTTTTACAAACGGAGCCTCCTGACAAACAGAATTGCCTCAAAACAAAAACCATGATGTGCTCATTTTTCCTCTCCCTCTTTCTATGGCCCAACCCATCTCTCTCAATACAGTATCTATTTATTATGGAAATATACAATCAACATTAAAATGCAAAATTGATCTTCTGCCTTGTCTTTCAATTCAATTCAGTGAGCACCAAGTGAGGTCTGCTTTGTCTCCAAAGTGAAGACCAGTCCTGCACAAGGAGGTGAGACTCTCAGGCTAAGAAACGCCAAAGCTCAGCAGAAGGCAGACCAAATGAGCACAGGCTGGTGTGGAACAAACTAAAGATGGAAGGCATGTTCAACAAGTAGAAGCATCGCTGTGGAACATGTTGTCTCGTAAGACTTCAGGGAAGAACGGGGTTGGAACCTGGCCCTTGGAGGAGTGTGTTCCAAGGGAGAACCACAGAATGAGCAGAAGTGCTGTGGGAAAGTGAGCCAGTCACGTAAACAGCGAAGTCAACCAGGAGGAGAGGCCAGAGCCCCACAGGTGTCTGCTGTGAGAACACAGGCTGCTCAGCTCTTT